ATCCTGCACAGCACTGCTGTCAGCGCCATACAGATCATTGCCCCACGTCGTGACGGTTCCATCCCCGAGAATGGCTGCAAAAGCACCTCGAGAGGCTTGGATCTGCTGCACGTTCTTCAGCTGATCCTCCACTGCACTAGTGTCAGCGCCGTGTTGAGCATGACCCCAGGTGACGACCGATCCGTCACCAAGAATGGCAGCGAAAGCGCCGCGAGAGGCTTGGATCTGCCGCACGTTCCTCAGCTGATCCTGCACAGCACGGCTGTCACCGCCATAACGACCATGACCCCAGGTCACTACCGATCCGTCGCCAAGAATGGCAGCAAAAGCAGCGTCAGAGGCCTGAATCTGCTGCACATTCTTCAAATCATCCTGCACAGCAGTGCTGTCAGCGCCATCTTCAGCATCACCCCAGGTCACTACCGATCCGTCGCCGAGAATGGCTGCAAAAGCACCTTGAGAGGCTTGGATCTGCTGCACGTTCTTCAGCTGATCCTCCACTGCACTAGTGTCAGCGCCGTGTTGAGCAAGACCCCAGGTCACAACCGATCCGTCGCCAAGAATGGCAGCGAAAGCGCCGCAAGAGGCTTGGATCTGCCGCACGTTCCTCAGCTGATCCTGCACAGCACTGCTGTCACTGCCATGACGACCATGACCCCAGGTCACTACCGATCCGTCGCCAAGAATGGCAGCAAAAGCAGTGTCAGAGGCCTGAATCCGCTGCACATTCTTCAAATCATCCTGCACAGCACTGCTGTCAGCGCCATACAGATCATTGCCCCACGTCGTGACGGTTCCATCCCCGAGAATACCAGCAAAAGCACCTTGAGAGGCTTGAACTTGAACTCTGCTTATATGCAAGGTCAACAAATCACCGTTCTGCAGCCTCGCACGCTTGATCTGCGCACATGCATCTAGAACACCTCCAGATGAGTCCACGAGCCGCCCTCTTCCAACTCCGAGTGCATTTTCTGCCCGACGTTTGAGTGTTCCAACTTGATCATGCAAGTCGGCCTTTACGGTGGCTGTCTTGCCGCTGAGCAGCCCAACTGCCACCGTAATCGACATGTTGCCGCGTCGAGTTTCAAATCTCTGGTGAACTTTTTTTTCGACTGCTAAACATTGCTAAACCAATCCTGGCTAGCAACCCCTGCAAACTATCCGCAACACCAAAGCCTGAACCCGCGACCCGGAATCTGTAGCCTCGTAGCCGGGAGCCATCCGTCAACCGTCTAAACATGTTGCATTCCGTACCTCAGAGCGTGTGTGTATGTAATATGTATGTATGTATATATATATATATATATGTATATATATATATATATATGTATATAGATAGAGAGAGATATATAATATAAATATATATATATATATAGAGATAGATAGATAGATAGATAGATAGATAGATAGATAGATAGATATACACAAAATCATAATACGTAACCCAAGCAGAGGTACCACTAATTAAGTACACAAAAGTACCTATACTCAAACTCCTGGACCTGGCCTCTGCTGACTTCTCTATCCGTGTACCTCAGGGCAGGTTTGTTTTACGTAAAGTACACTATATCATATATATATATATAGTACAGTGTGATATTCTGCTTTCAGTTGCACTATATTAATATTGTACTATATTACATAGGGTTTATCAACATCTTTTATCTTATATGACATGGTATTATAATATATTATAACATTTGTATTCTACAAGATCGTATGATAATGTGTTATACCAATGCATATCATCATATAGTATCTGCCTCTTCTCTAGCTTTAGGAACTCGAAGCCTCAACCACCACGGCCTCTGAGGCGGCGGCTTTCCCGCTCCTGCATCGCCTGCCAGGACTGCCCATGCAGTCGAGGGCCCAATATCTGGTTTAGGGTTTGGGGTCCTATATAGAACCGGGTTTTGGCATACCATTATACAGTAATTTTCGGAGGAACCCGAGAAACGAAAATGGCGCATTATTCAGGCTTGCTTACTGGAGTTTCGGGATGTCCACAACCTTCACCCCAAAGCACCACCTCAAACGCTGGAGCTGGCTGTGGCGAGGTGCTCAGCTTACAGATATGTCTGCGGTGGTCTCAACTACTGGGCATATTTCGGCTGCAAAGCTGTTACAAGATGGCATGCTAAGGTGCGACAAGTGGCAAAAGGCTTGCAAACCATCTTCACTGGACCTAATGGCTGGCCGTGTTTGAGAGAAAAACGTGTCTTGCTTCCAGAAGTACTGCAAAGTCTGATTGCTGGAACCAACTCTTCGAAAACCTGAAGTATGGGGTTGAGGGTTTAGGATGCCAACCCGTAACGCCTGCAACTTAAGTTCGAACGCCAAGCCCAATGCCCTCGCCCTCGGCATGGCGCAAATGTGAACCAAGACCGCTGCATCGCAACAAACCTTATGTGCACTGTTGTGAAAACACATTTCTGTCTCCTAACCCTGCTAAGGAAGGAGATTCCGATTGCCCCCCACCGGCAGCCTATGATGATGAACTTGAACAAGTAGTCATACTTGTCCTGGGAGCAAGCTGCAGGTCTGGTGGCATCAGCAGCTGACAAGCCATAGCGGCTGAACAGCTGTAATACATACTGGAATACTCCCTAAACCCTAAACCCTAAACTCTGTCTGCCGTTTGACCAGTTTGGAGTTGAAGGTCCTGGGGTGTAGTGTAGAGTTGGGATTTCAGGGTCTGAGTACTTACGGTTTGGGGACCACGGCTCTGAAATCGAAGCCCTCCGAAACCAAGAGCTTCAAACTTGCTCTCCTCAGCCCTCGTTCAGTATAATGTAGGAACCTGATTAAGAAACCCAGGGGCCTTTATTAGGGCTCTTAATATGAACCCTGATATATTCGGGGTTATAGGGCCAGGGTTTCTTAATCAGGTTCCTACATTACAACGGAAGAGGAATGCAAACTGGCATTGTGTAGGGCTCAGGGTCGAGGGGTTTAGGCTAGGGCTTATAAGGCTGAATCGAAGAATGTGGCATCCGAGGAGACAAGTTACAGCCCCTGCGCTGCACCCGATTCTAAACCCTGTAAGCGGCCCTACACCCTAAGCGCCGCCCAAGAACCTAAACCTGAACCCCTAAACCTTAAACTTTAAACACTAAACGCCCTGAAGGCCCTTGACTCCTAAGCCTAAACCCCTAAACCCTAAACTTTCAAACCCTAAACGCCCTAATTATGCTCTACGGTCGTCGCCCCCCTCCTGGGATCGGCGCAGTCAGCTGAACTCTCAAAAGCTAACATCTATGGCCAATGAGCCATGCGCGTCTCTGTTGGTGTCGGAATCCCCTAAATACTGAACCCTGCAAACTGGGTTGAAGGGTCTAGGTTTTGGGGGTCCTAAACTCACAAGTCATTGCTGCTGGGTGCTTATAGGGTTTGGACAGTTGGTGCGGGCTGGGTCTAAGAGTTCGAACCCAAGGTAGTCCTCCCTATCAGACCAAGAGGGTTTAGGGTTTAGGGTTTAGGGGTTTAGGGTTTAGGGTTTAGGGGTACTGCACAGTACTCAATGCTGAGCCACATGTCATTAAAGAATGGCAGACCCCGGCTTCAGAGCCTTTCCATCATCTATTCGGAACCGTAAGAACCATTGCCAGAGCGTAAACCACCCACCGAAAACCCAACGTGTCGAATACACGGGCCTTCATAATTGGAATAGGGTTGTGAGGCATATCATGACATCTAAGAACTTACGCAGGGACCATATACTACTACTACTGCTACTACTACTACTACTACTACTACTACTACTACCACCACTGATCCAAGCCCTAAGCCCTAAACCCTTGCCCCCAAAAAACCCAAAGTCTAGCCCCCAACCTCAACCCTTCAACCCTCCCTAAACCCTAAACCCTAAACCCTAAACCCTCAACCCTTCAACCCTGAGCCCACTCCAACATCCAAGACCTTGACCTTCCAGGGCCCTGCCTTGTCGTTCTCCGCTGCCATGAGACGAAAGACTGCCCTGGCAATAGGGGTTTACTGGTTTAGGGTTGACGGTGTAAGTGTACCTTGGTCCCCAAAACTTGATATAACCCCTGAACCCTAAACCGTAAACCTTTGAAGGCGATCAGCCTTAGCGCCAAACCCTTCAGACTTCACTACTCTTCCAGCCCTAGCCCTGAACACTTAACCCTGAACCCTAACCGCCCAGCACCTCACTCCACGACGCTCCTCCCTCCCTCCGACCTGATCCGAACAGCCTCACCCGGAAGCCGAGAGTTGTCCCTAAACCCTGAACCCTACACCCGAAACCCTTGTGTTCAGGAAGACCCCAAGAGGCCCTAAAGACCAGAGACTGAAAGCAAAAGCCTCTATTTCGGGCTTAGGGTCTCTAGGGCTTGAGGGTTTCACGTTTTATGCAGGGTTTGGGGGTATTTTAGGGCTTTAGGGTTTAGGGTTTATGTAGGGTTTGGGGTTTTAGGGTTTATGTAGGGTTTGGGGTTTCAGGGTTTAGGGTTTACGTAGGGTTTATGTAGGGTTTTGTGCAGGGTTTAGGGTTTCCCTAGACCGTTGGATCGGGATTCAAGGTTTTTTGCTGCTGGCTGCAGCCTTAGTGATGCCAGGAGTTCTGTAGGGGGCCTTCATAATTAGAATAGGTTCTTGGACTATAAGGGTTTAGGGTTTAGGGGGCTTCATAATTAGAATAGGTTTTTGGTGCCCATCATACTATATTGATAATTATTATAAGGAATTATTATAAGGAATCCCCAAAATAGTATAGGTAATTCTTAAGGCCCCTATATTACTGTAGGTCCTCACAGCCTTCGTAGTGGAAAGTACCTGGGTGTGAGCCTTGAAACCCGAAGCAGCAGCGAATCCCACAGCACGGGTTGGGCTTTAGGGTTTAGGGTTTAGGGTTTTAGGGCTCAAGTTTTCAGGGTTTGGTTTTTTTACCTGAACCCCCAAAAGTAGGTAATTAAACGTAATGGCCCAAGACCCATAGAAGGCTATTGCTTGACATACTTTTGGGGGTCCAGGTAGGGTTCTAGGCAGCTGAATCTCAAAGAATGAAACCCTTCAATTCAATAACCAAGCCCCAATCAAGTTCAGACTCTTAATTCTGCACAGCGCAAAGTAAAGAAGTAGTTACAAGGGGGCCCCATTCAACAAATTATGCAGTCGCCTTGGGCCCGAACCCTGAAACGGAAACCCGAAACCCTAAACCCTAAACCCTAAAGCCTAAATCCTAAACCCTAAAGCCTAAACCCTAAACCCTAAAATCCTGCCTCCTCCGCAACGCATCCGAGCTGAGCTCAAAGATGCGATTTTTGTATGACGATGCTGTTGGCTAAAGTGAATGTTGGATGCCCTAAAGCGCATTGGGGTCAAGTTTCCTTAGTCATAAACCCTCTTACCTGGAATCTAGAACCCAGGCGGCACGAAAGTAAAAGCTTCAAGCTTTAGCTTGAAGTCAAGGGGATTCTGGTTTGCAGGCTTTCGGCTGACTTCTTCATGAAAGCTGGCTAAGCATGGTCTGCAGGGAATCATCCTCAAGACAGCTTCCCTAAACCGAAAAGCTGAAACCACAAAAGCCTAGAAATGCGAAATCCAGCACCCTAAACCCTAAACCCTAACTGGACAAATGTCGTTTGCTGGATCATGGCCCTTGTGGTGTCATGTCGCGTGCGCGCCGGCATCACGGAAGCTGAACCGAAAAGCCCGGGTGAGCTACCGGCTCGAATCTACGTACTTCAGGGTTTAGGGTTTAGGGTTTAGGGTCCAGGCTGAATGTAACAGCTAAACCCTAAACCCAAAGTAGGGGTTTCGGGTTGAGGACTCAGGGTCTAGGGCTTAGGGTTTTGGCTGGGGTGTTGGGGTCGTCGTGTCTTGGGATTTGCTGGTTTTGGAACTCTAAAGCTCTGATGATTCGGGGCAGTTATCATCATGGGTCCTGATGTTTAAGGGGTCCTGCTTCTGACAGGCTTTCGGACTGGTCCTGGACAAGCCGGGGCAAAGGACCTTGGGCTTAGGGTCTAGGGTGAAAATCAGTATGGTGTCGGGAGCAACGCGCTTTTGCCACTTCGGTGCGAATAGGTCACTTGCGAATCCGAAAGCCCCAACCCCAACCCCTAGACTCTAATATCGAATATAGGGGCCTTAATAGTTAGAATAAGGTTTTCGGTGTATATTATACTATTATTATTCTTATTACTGTTATAAGGAACCCCCAAAATATAGTATAGGTAATTATTAAGGCCCCTACATTCGACCCTAAACATAACCGACCCATGGTCCCCTGGGAGGTCTCAGCAGAGTCAGAATAAGCCGGATCATCTTCAGAACAAGGGCAGCACACCTTGTCTTTAGGGGTTTAGGGGTGTATGGTTTAGGGTTTAGGGGCTAGTTGCTTTAGGGCTCCGGAGTTTGGGGGGCGGCTTCGGAGTTGCGCAAAACACCATTTGTTGCAACTCTCGTCAGGAGGCGAGCTTGAATCATCAAGACCTTTTCAGTCCTTGAGCCACCTATACGATTTGGCTCTCGATGTTTCCGGATCTGAGCGCTTGGGGAAGGCTTCAACGTTCTGGGTTGCTGGGGCTAGACTTGCATTCCCAGGCACAGGCGGGCGCAACACACTCTGCAGTGGGTCCTCGGGGCGGGATCATGATCGTGCCATGATTCGTGAGTGACTTGAATCAGCACACAATGGAAGCAGGAACCCTGAATCCGCGAGGTCGTAAATAGCAGAGGGACGAACCCGAAAAAACACGAAGCTATAACGAGTTCTAGTTTATGCTACTTAACAAATACTCTACTCAGACTCAGCCCCGCTTTACTAGACTACACTATGGTCTAGTTTACTGCGCTGTACTGTGCTGTACTGTACTCTACTCAGCTACTCTACGCTGCTCTACTACACTAGACGAGACGCAACAAAACTTACTTCACGATACATACGCGAGTGATCTGCTGAACTTCTCTACACATGCACGCAAAGTTCCCGTTTACATATGTGCATAGTCTTACCTCTCTCTATGGCTATATGGCTTCCTCTCTCGCACTGTGGTGTCTGCGTGTCGGTCTGCCTGTCCCTGTCTCCGTCTTTTGCTCTCTTTCTATCCGGGTAGTTCTCTAAATTAGTATCCCTTTTAGGTCCACACTAGAGTACGGCACCCTTGTAAAAAGGACCCAAAAGGGACCCTAATTTAGAGAACTACCCATCTGTACGCAGATCGACATCATGCACCAGGCCATTAAGCTTGCCACCAGCTGAGAGAGAGCGCTTGGTTTAGGGCTTAACTTCTCTACTTCACGTCGGTCTGTACATGTTCACAGATTCGCCCGAAACCGCCGCAAGCCGTGGCTGATGAACCCACATCCTCGAAGCACGGATCATGCATCTTGCAGCATCATTGCATCTAAGCCGAAGTAGAGTCGCAAGCAAAGGCTCTGCGGCTTAGTCGTTGAGGGAAAGCCCTCCCGGGATAGCAGGGTTTAGGCGCGTGCTCACATCTTCTACCCTCATGCACTGTGGCTTGCCATGCTCTTGGGGCTAAGCACCATGACCGCTTACCCGTGGTGTGGCTAGTTTAACTACACGACCCCGAACCTTAAACCCCGGATTGTATCCTGTTGACTGCTACCAACTATGTATCTTGGAAAACGCATCGAGAACACCAGATTTTGTCTCCCCACCCAGCGCCAACCCGAAACTCTAAAAGACCTCAAACCCTGAGCCTGGATATTAAGCTTAACACCTTAGCCCGAAGCCCCTAAACCGATCTCCTGAACCCGGAAATCCGAAAAAAAAGAGCCCTCAATCGAGATGTGCCTTCTTGGACAAGCGCCCCGCTTGTCGCATCTCGCCGAAAGATCACCACCGAGTCACTATCCTCGTTTATCCCGGGCACTTTCAAGATTTATTGTTCAGGGTCTATACTGTTGATGATATAAATCTGTATTACCTTAAGGACCCTTAACTATGGGAATTATGGTACATTCTTATTGTGGGTAATGCAGGATTTATATCATCAACCGTACCAGGCAGATACAGGAGACGTCGCAAAGTCTAGAGTTTAGGATTCAGGGCATTAGGGTTCAGGGTTTAGGTTCGGGGTTTAGCTTTAAGGTCTAGCTGTTGATGTGGCACCGGGGAAAGAGGCATCTGAAACCCTACACGGCCCTAAACCGTACTTTTTATGCAGCACGGGATAAGAAGCCCGAGCCAAACTTCTGGACCAATACTGCCGGCGATATAGATCCTGCATTACCATAAGGACCCTAAATTACGGGAATGATGGGTAATGTAGGATCTATATCATCAGCCGTATCTTGAGGTTTCGGGCCTTGGACTAGACGATGATATGAATCCTCCACTCACGCTTCACTTCGAGTGGCAAACGTGACCGCATCATGCTTCCCAAGACGGCTGCCTAATCGATTCCCGAAAATTATAAACCTGACAGCCTCAAACACCCTATTAGCAGAAGCGTGCGAAGCCGTAAAGCCCTGCTGATGGTGCTTTAAGAGTCGTTGAACATGAGGGCTTGACTATTCAGAATGAGCTTCTGGTAGCAGGTTCTGCTACAAGTAGAAGTATACTGGGATGTTTAGGAACTATTATCCCTAGACCCTAAACCCTAAACCCTAAAACCCTAAACCCTAAACCCTAAACCCTAAACCCTAAACCCAAAATCCAAAACCCTATTGTCACGGCTTCTGCAGACTCCCAAAGTTTTCCGGGCCTGATTGGCCGCTACGAGCCATTGATCCTTGCCACAGAGAGCCTCGGTTGGGCCAGGTACGGTAAAGGGCTCGCGGTTTAGGGTTTAGGGGTTTA